AGGGAAAGAATTAGAGAAATGAAGGCTGGAAATGGAACTGGGTGGCTGTAATCAGTCCTCTGACCTCCCTTCCCCACCCTCTGCCTGTTTGGTTCATTCTTCTGCCCCTTGAGCAAGCTGAGGACTCATAAGATTTGACTCTGCTTGGGCTGCTGAAATAGCCCTGATGCCTTGTGATCCAGCTCCCATGCGCATGAGCTGCCTTCCTCCCCTCTCTGTGCACAACTCATAGCACATAAAAGTGTTGCCACAGACTTCAGAGCTGCCCTAGAGAGATGTCCCCTGCAAAGGTCCCCATGGAGAAGGGAGAAATTGCACACTACAGATGAAGGGGGTGATGCTGGTGGAGAGCCTGCCAGAGGCTGATGGCCTCTAATCCCTTGTCCCCAGGTTCAGAGTATGGATGCTACTTCTGTCCTCCCTACAGGGACTCCAGATGACTCACAGTCAGGGAGCAGGGGCATAGGGGGTGGCAGGAACTTCACCTTCAGTTCTTTGTTCCTTCCCACTGTTGTTGACCCAAATGTGGAGACTTCAATGGCTTCCCTAGGGGAGCCATCCCATTCTGGCTAACCTCTTGGGCAGGAGGTTAGTGCTCATGGGCATCAGTTTCCTTGTTCTCATTATTGCCTTGGCTTCTCCTGCATCTCCTGGACAATCCTCTCCTGTACACGCCCTCCAGATCCACAGACCTGCTTATCCAGTCTCCTGCTTACCTCAGTGCTTGGCTGAGCTAAGTACCTTTTGTTCTCTTGGTCCTCCTCTGTTAGGAAGCTGGCTGGCTTTCAGAGCTTAAGGTTTGGTTGGCTGAAGGTTGCAGCACTATCTGCTGAGAGGCAAACCAACACCTCCAACTAAAGGGAAAACGGGTCCCATAAAGCCAATCTGGGGATTTTTGTGGCTGGCAGGAGGACGACTGAGCAGCTCGATCAGGAGGAAGCCTATTCTTGGTCCTGTTCTCAGCTCTGGCCTCTGAAAATCCATAGCTCAGCTCCTTGAAATCCACCCCACAGCTCTCTAAGGCAGGGAGCTTTCCCTGCTAGGCTTCATAAAAGGGGGAAACAGAGTCAGAAACGTGGTTTAATCACAACTGCCAGGAGGAACCGCAACCAGGGCCCAGATGAGGTCAGAAGATGGTTTAAATCAGGTCACCGCTCGATATTTATTGTGTGGAGTTTTTGTTTTTTCTTTACTCCTGCACTGAAATCCTTCCCCAGAGGCTATTCAAGGAAATAAATAGCTAGTGGAAAGGGACAATAGCTTGCTGTGGAGTACAAATTATATGAAGCAGTTGGAAATAATAGCAGAGTGAGCAGCTGCTACTCTGAGAAAGAATGCACGGTTGCTCTCTCCAGCTCCCTTCGCTTTCAGTGGACACCAAGGCCTGGTCCAGAGCACAGGCTTCATGGTGCCTCGAGTGCAAAAATTGGACAGGCACCTTTTCCCCCCCCAGTTCCTCCTCTGGTGGCACTAATTAGGGCCAGTCTGAAACCACAGCCTTTTGTTATGGTGCTAAGGGGATCTCTTGCTTCTTCTCACAGAGCCTGCTCTGAGGCATTCTTGCAGCTGGCATGGCCGCCTTGTCTTCCTCTCCCTTTCTGGGCTGAGCATCAAATCTGGTGAAGACCCATGTCACTCCTGTGAGGGACTATTCATAGCTCATGTAATCTAGAGAGGATGTGCTGGCTACCCTGTCCTCTGAGCCCCTTGAAGCCCTTCTTTAGAAGGGCTCATTGGAGGGGGATGTGGGGACCATTTTGGTGTGCTGGTGTGGATTTTGGGGGCTGCCACAGAAAGCCCTGAGAAACCTGTTGCAGCTAGGGCAGTCAGGCTACCTTGGCTGGGAAGTGGGGAAGCTTGTGGTTTTCCTCAGGGTTTCACACCTAGCTGGCTTATCTCCTGCCCAAGTAAGAAAGCAAAATAAATACTGCTGCCAGCAATGATGCTGCAGAGGATCTTGGCAGCCTGCTGGCGAGGGTGGCATTCAGTCTGTTCTCAACAGCTGTGTGGGTGCTCTGTGGTACAGGTGGCAGCTCTAGGCTATGGTACATGAGGTGCTGCTATCTGGAGCCACCTCAAGGGTCCTGAGCTCCCTTGGGTGCTCCTGGTGGCTTGAGATCTCTCTAGGACTAGAGGGAGCTTAGGAAGGACCGTTAGCCACAAAACTTACCTCGTGGGACCTCTGGAAATGAAGCTGCTGTGTTTTGTGTGGTAAAAGCACTGTGCAGGGGACTTGGCCTGCCACCCTTCTGGCTGAAAGCCCACGTGGTTGTGTTTGTCTCTTCCCCACTTAAAATATGACTTTTTAAATACTTTTTTTTCCCCCCTGTAAAATTGCAGGCCTGCCTGCTCCCTGTTCGAAGCTCGAGTTGCCCTCAGGTCGGGCATGGCCCTCACCCTTGTTTCAGTGGCCACTTGTCAGGCCTCTGCTGTCCCAAGGCACCCTCTGGGAATGCAGCCAAGCCTCCTCTGGTGCCAGCAGTGTGAACATGGGTGTCCCACACCACTACAGGCCAAATGCCCTCTAGCCAGGATGAACATCTGTATGGAGACCTGGAGAGGCACTCCTGGGCAGGTTCCCTATTATAAGATGATGTCTCAAGGAGTGAAGCATTTCTGGATCATTTGCACTGGTGACTGCTGGCTCCCACAACCATTGCTTGTATTTACCTCTCTGCACAGACACTCCAGCTCCTTTGCAGATGCCCTGAAGCCGGATTTCCTCTTTCTTTGGGATTTACATTTCCATCATGTCGCTGTTTCCTTGGGCTTTCTGCTTTGCAATGTCTGCCTGGAAGTATCAACCTGCCCCTTTCACCCTCCATCATCCCCGTTGCCACCTCCAATTGCACTGGAAAATTTCAGCTCTTCTGGGGTCCGTAAAGTCTCAGGTCTGTCCTGTGTGGGAGAGCACGTCCCCCTGCATGACAGAGGCCATCTGCAGAGGGCTGGTGTCTGACCACGCAGAGGCTCAGCTCTGCAGACAAAGGAAGTCACCAGCTCTGGCAGAGTTGCTGCCTGGTTTCCCACTATTGTTCCCAGTGGCAAATAAAAGGGGGGTGAACGCCCCTGCTGAGCATTGTAAGAGGGGGGTTCGTGTTATCTCCATGAAATCTCATGGCCCCTCTCTGAGCAGCTCGTGCCTCTTTCCTGCCTGTCCTCCCTCCCCGCATGTTCCCACATCCGTGGTACTGGTGGCTCTGCACATAACCCTTTGCTTCAGTAGTTCCCCCTGTCCCTCGGACACAAGCTGCTCTCCCTCCCGGGCAGCCTCATGCTCTGCTGGTGGGATGGGTAGATAAATCCCAGTGACAGCCACATTTCTGTCTGCTCCACACTGGGCTGTGTGGGAAGTGGAGTGAATGCTCCTCAGTGTTGCTGGCCCAGGACCTGGGTCTTGTCTCTGCTGTGACATTGCTCTGTGCTTTGGCTAGCCGTACGGGACAGGGTTTTCCTGACTGAGTTTAGGATCTGTCTTGGGATGTGATCCCTTGAGCCCTAGAATTGTTTGTTTCTCCTGCTGGCCTCCCCCTGTCCTTGCAAAGGGACACCATGAGTTGATGGAAAGAGAAACCTCTCATAGCCAGTGGGATGCTCTGAGATTTTGGGAGAAGGGGCTTTCCCTGGGATGGCTGTGGGGGAGCAGGGTGACATGAAGGTGTGTGCAGGTGGAACATGGCAGCAGAATGTGACACAGACCCAATGCCAGAAGCCACCACCCTCAGCACCTGCTCATGGGAACATTTCACCAACAGCTTCAGTTACCTCAACAGCAAACAAATTTCCCAAGCCTGCTGGTCTTTATGACCTGGGATAATAGGAAACACCTCTGGAAAAGTGGTGCTTATCAGCACTTACTTCTGCTTGCTTCAGGAGTTTTTGGGGAGGGGCAAAAGCCATCTACCAGCTGTCTGTGCAGCAGCAGGGTGACTGCACTCAGCTGCACTCTGCAGGGCTTGGGAGGGAAGCCTGAGGGACTGCTGGTCTCCTGAGCCTTGGTCTTCTCCTTCTTGCTTTCCATTGATTTCTGGAGTCTGGGAATACAATGCTAATGTGTTCAGCCAAATCTGGGACACTGTCTTACCTGGGAAGGAGACAGCAGGGATGTTGCTCCCCTGTGAAGAAAACCTTCCTGTGCCTCAGTGTTAGGGAGGATGTGGCTATTGGACATGCCACGTTTGGCTCCTTAAGCTAAAAGATTTGGGTCCCAATGGAGCCTGGATGGGAGGTTGCAGAGAGCTCCCATGTGTTGCTAGAGGAATCTAAACAGCTGGGGCTGAATCAAGCCACGAGAAGGGAAGGAGTGGGGATGCCACTCATTATGACCCCACCCCCCCCCAGAGGGAATGTGTTGGGTGCCCTGTCCTCCAAGCCCCTTGGAGCCCTTCCTCAGAGCACCTTGGGGAGGTACAGGGGGTACCATTTTGGGGTGTTGGTATGGATTTTGGGAGCTCGTGGGCGGAAAGCAAGCCACGAGAAGGGAAGGAGTGGGGATGCCACTCATTATGACCCCACCCCCCCCAGAGGGAATGTGTTGGGTGCCCTGTCCTCCAAGCCCCTTGGAGCCCTTCCTCAGAGCACCTTGGGGAGGTACAGGGGGTACCATTTTGGGGTGTTGGTATGGATTTTGGGAGCTTCCCCCTGCCACAAAAGGAAGGAGCTGCTATGTTCTTCTGGCTTAGCTGTTAGACACAAAAAATAAGTGAATGCAGTGGTCACAACTCCATGGCCAGCTGGGAAGATGCTTGTCCTATGTGGCGGCTGAAGTAGCATCACTGAGGGCTGTATGTGATGGTCCCTCCACTGGGAGCCCACTGAGGGGGCTGGGAATTGGTTAAATGTCCTGAAGTCCCTGATGAGAGGAAGTGTACACAGGGAAGCTTTGGATCAAAGTCTCCTGGCTTAATAGCAGCTGGTGGGGCCTTGCAGAGGCGGAGATGCTGTTAATATGTAAGCCACAAGGAAGTCTAGGGATGTAAGGTCCTCTGTGCAAAACTTTTCTGAGCTCTACTGCCTGGTTACTCTGCCCTGGGAGAAAGATGGGTGTAAGGGCTGTTGCTCCTGTCCTCTGTCACTCAGGGTCCCCAGCTCAGCAATACTGAGTGAGGGACTGGCCAGCCACAGCTACCTCTGCTCTCACCACTTGAATTTCTTGGGTTGCTGGCAATGCTGCCCACCAAACCCTGGGTTGTGCCCCTCTGCTTTAACCCTCGTTGTACCTCTGCTGTCATGCTCTCCTTTCATTCTGCTGAGGACGAGCCTCTTTTCATCTTCTCTCCCTCTGATGTCTTCTTGTTTGCTGGTTTCACTCAGCCCACTCCTCCTTCACTGAGTGAGAAGCCCATGCAAGATCTCAAACACAGAGTTTTTGGCTGTGAGAGGAACACCAGCTGAGAGCAGTGGATGTTGTTCTGGCTGGGGCATCCGCTCTGAGCAGCATCCTCTCAGTTTCGGTGGCCAGGGAGGAATGGCTGAAGGAGCCCCACAAACTATTTTTCTCTTTGTCTTAGAAAAAATTGGAAATCATAAACTTGGGTATGAAGACTGGAGACAGCCTGAAGATCAAGGGCAAGATATCTGATGATGCTGAGCAGTAAGTACAAAGAAACCACTTTGACTTGCCAAGACTGAAGGTGGGCTGCAGAGAGAGGTGGTTTTCCAAGGTTGCCAGGTACAAAAGGTGTGAGCATAGCTCAGTGTTAGGGCTAGCTCAGTTAGCCCTATGCCACCACCGTGCCAACTCCCTGGTTCCCAAGAAAAATGAGGAAACAGGAGCCATCAAGCACCTGCTACAGTGATGGAGGAATTGATGGAATGCTGATGGGTGCAGAGCCATGTGTTGGATCTCAGGTCTTCCAAGACCTGACCTGCCTGTGTGTCTGACCTTCCTCCTGTTCACCCTCAGATTCAGCATCAATCTCGGCTGCAGCTCGTCGGATCTGGCACTTCACTTCAATCCCCGCTTCGACGAGTCTGTCATCGTCTGCAACTCCAGGTGCTCCAAAGTCTGGGAGGCAGAGCATCGTGAAGATCACCTCTGTTTCTCCAAGGGCTCTACTATCAAGGTGAGGGGGCTGTGCCAGCAGGGGGTTGTGGTGTGTGTGTGTATGTGGTGGGGCAAAGCCCCTGGTTAGCATATTCCTGTACCTCAGTCCTTCCAGTCTCATCCAATACCTCTTGCTCCCTCCCAACAGCCCCTCAGTCCTCTGGGATTTTGGTCCCGATTGCCATTTCCAAGCTTCCCAGAGTTTGTAGTGATGTCCAAAAACCTTTCCCTCAGCTCTTCTGTCCTCACTACTCCTGTATTCGTGCTGCCGATCTGTGCTCTCTCTCCTCCTGCCAGGGATGCTGTCCTAGTTGCTGTCTCACCCCATCTGATGTCCCAAGACTTGAACAGGGCTTCACTTAGAAGCAGTCCTATTCCTACTGCTGTGGAGAGGAAGCTTGTTTCCTCAGTCGTGGCTGGCTCTGAGGGAAGGGGTGATGAGGTGATGGCTTTGGGGAGCAATCCCTTTAATTTGCAATATTCAGTGGTTTGTCCCTATCCTGTCTGCTTGTGTGTGTTTATCAGTGAAGATCCTTTTATTGGGTCCAAGGAAGCTGCTGAGGGCATTGGGGTGTCAGGTTGATTCTGCCCTCTTCAGAGCAGATCTAAGCAACGTGGTGCATAAAGACACACTTGGGTTTAATTGCCTTGATGTTACAATCTGAGTAGGGGAAACAGCCCCAGGAGAGATCCTGTCTGCAGGTCATAGTGTAGGTACCTGCTCAGACCCTTGATATCAACTGCTCATTTCCTGCATCACCCTCAGCTCAACCCCCAGCACTTTGCTTAAGGGTGTCAGGACCATGTCTGACCCTTGTGTGTAACAGTCAGGCCCTTCACCTGGATGCTTACCTCCTAATCTCCTCCCTGTCCCAAATTCCTACCCTTCCTCCCCTCTCTTCTCCCAGATCGACATTGAAATGAAGGCAGACAAATTCGAAGTGAAGCTACCGGATGGGCATGAAGTGGAGTTCCCCAACCGGCATTGCTACGACAAGATCAGCTACATGAGCATCAAGGGGGACTTCAGGGTCACCTCCTTCAAACTGGGTTGATGGATTCTGCTTTCTAGCTCTAATAAAAACCCAAGCAGTGGGGACTGCTTGCTGCAGCTGCTCCGGCTTCTGTGAGATCTCTGGCTCTGTGCAAAACACTGTCAAAGTCCAGGGTTTTTCCACCCACAAAGGGCAAAGGGGCCCTTTCTGGATGGAAATAGATCCCAGATAACGCCAGGTGCTTTTCCAAGTCAGACCAGGATGTGGGGTTGAATGGATAGTAGGTAGGGCAAAGTGGGCTGTAGGTGGGGTTCAGGAGGAGAACCCTGTGTGGTTGCTCAGGGAATGGTTGTGTAATCTCATCAGAATGCATCATTTCCTCCTGCACCCGAGTTTTTGAGAGAGAGAGAGGGGAACAAAAGCATTGACAAGGGCGATGTGGCATCTGGTGCCACAAAAGTGGGTAATTCAGTGTTTGGCTTGGGAACCTCAGGGCGTGGGTTTGACAGGTTCCTCTTGGCAGCTCTTGAGGCCAGCAGGCAGGAGGCAGGGGTGCCTTGCCCTCCTGCAGGAATGGTACCACATGAAGCGGTGGCACAGGTGTGCCCCTGACCCAGCATTCCTCAGCGATAAGGAGTTGTCTTCTCTGACTTCCCCTCTTATCTCACCTCACTTATCTGCTGGCACATTCCAGCCGGGTTACCCATTACTCCAACATTTCCATACTGAACCCTATTCAGTGAAAGTGAGGCAGCAGAAGGCAATGGGAAGGAAGGATAGCATTCGGGTTGGGTTGTGTGGCTCAGCATGTCCCAGTCTGTGTCACTCACATGGGACTACAGGCAATTAGTGCTGATCATCTGGTGCCATGGCTATAATTAAAAAGTGTCTCTCCAGCCTTAAGTGAGACTGATGTGTGACAGCAAACACTGAGGCACTTCAGGCCGGGTGGGAGGAGAGCAGAGTAGAAGAGCATCTGATGGAGATTCCAGTCCTAGGCAAGGTGGCTGAGCCCCTGTCTCTCCCTCTCCAGACCCTTGCCACCCAACCTGCGGGATCTCAGCACACAGGCAGAGGATGTCTGATGGTCTGGGAGGGCTGAAGCCAAGCTGGCTTTAGAAAGGGGGCTGGCTGCAAGTGGGTTGTTGCCAGGCTGGAGAGGAAGCTTTGCACCCTCCTGCGTGCTATGCAGGGTGGGGTTGGTTTGTGTGTTAAGAGACCATGAGCAGCAAAGTACTGGGCTAGTTAGTCCAGGGATCCCAGAAGTGCTGGAGAATCCTCCTGAGAGTAGAGAGGATGGGATTTTGTGGCTGGAGCACCAGCAGACATAGCAAAGAGACAATAAGATCACTGCAGCTGAGGGGAGGCAACAGAGGAGAAATTAGTATCAAAACTGCTTTAATAAGGACAATAATAAGTGCATGGGATACAGAGTGGAGGCAGAAAGGCTATTCCACGGATATGGGTCTTTGGTTTGGAGCTTGTGTTACTGCCTGGGAAGCAGAGGGCAGGGGCACCTTGTCCTCAGAGCCAGGGTCCCTGCCCTGGAGGGTGCAGGGTTGCAAGGGCTGATCCTGCTGGGTGTCAGTGGCCAGAGCTGGGGACTCCTTGAAGCTGCTGCCTGCCCGGGCTTGCTGCTGCCAGCCAGCCCAGGGCAGCTGCCCAGGGAGACTGGAGGAGATGGGCTTGCCCGTACCCTCAGTGCCTGTGAGTGGCACTTCCATCCACAACACGTGCACGCCCGAGCCTCTTCGTTCTGCTCCCTGCCAGAAGCAGCCAGGCAGCGGGTGAGCTGCGTGGGAGCTGACTGAGCCTTGTGGCCATGGCCTGGCATCTCCCCCCACCGCACGCCCCGTCCCGTCCTGGAGAACAAGGGGGACGCTGTGAGGGTCCCTCCAGTGACCTCAGCCCCCGAGCGCCTCGGCTCCGCGCCGTGGCACAAAGGCGCTTCTGTGAGGGCCGGTTTGCACGCGGGGCAGCGTGGGGGGCAGCTCGTTCCAGGGCGGCCACATCACCCAGAGCCACTTGGCACGGGGCATTGGCCATCCCGCTGTGCACAGCCCTGGAGAGGGGCGCGCTGGAAAGGGGTGCACGCGTGGGGAATGGGGAGAAGGGGTAAGGATGGAGAAGAGCGGGTGCGGGCCAAGTGGCTGCAGAGTGGGAGTCTCTCTGTGCAGAGGCAGGGGGGAAAGAAAGGGATTTTTGGGGCCTGAACTGCAGAATTTGGTGACCTGACAGCCTCGCCTCTGCCTCCAGCCAGCCCAGAGGTTCCTCCCGTCCCTGCTGCGAGGGGGTGGGGGTTGGAAAAGGAGCCATCCTAAGTGACACTCGGCAGCCGCAGGCCAGTGGAAAGACCCCTGTGATTCTCTGTGTGTGCTCTCACCTCCTGAGGTGAGAAACACTGAGCTCATGACTTATTTTTTGGGAGGGAAAAAGAGAAAGCCCAGCTCTGTGGGGTTTGGCTGCCCCTTGAGCTCTTAGCTGACCTCTCCTGGTAGACAGATACCCTACATGAGAGGATCCTGCACCAGCTGGGGAGGCCCCATCCCCTACATGCGGGAACTACTGGTGTGAATATTTCCAGGGGGGCACCCATGCCAGGAGAGGGAGTGGTCGGGGGCTTCGGTGGGAGGGCAGGGCATGTCCCCAGACATGCTGGTGGGGCCAGGTTGAGGGATGGGAGAGAGGATGCTGGGGGAACAGGATGGGGTGGGAAGGGATTTGGGGTTTCTTTGGCACATGGGAATGCCCCTTTGGCATCTAATGGCAGTGAGGCTGGGGAAGGGCTGCAATGCCCTGTGCTGTGATGCACAGCTCTCACTAGCCCCCCCCCCAGCAGCCTGGCCCAGGCACAGAGAGCACCACAGAAGACAGGTTCTCCTCCTGCCCCCCCAGTGTCCCCAGTTCGGCATGGAGGTTGCCCTCTGGGTCTGCTGGTGGCAGGGAGGGAGGGGACGGGGAGGAGGGTGAAGACCCCGTCACTGGTGCCTCTGGCTGGGGGCTTGTTGGGGGGGGGGGCCATTCACACCTTGACTTCATCATCCTCCTCCTCGTCAGCATACTCAAAGGAGTTGCTGCGTGCCCCCCGGGCACCAGTGTACCCCTCCTGCAGGCTGGAGAGCTCGTCCTCCTCCTCTCCTTGGTTCCAGGTGGCCTCAGGGGACCGGCTCTCTCCTGACACTTGTGATCGCCATGAGCTGCTGCTGGGACTCTCCCACAGGGTCTGCGTCCGGGCCTGCCGGGGACCCTCACCCCTCTCCGAGCTCCGGGGAGTGCTGGTCCCACCATAATGGCGGGCCAGGACCGGGGCTGCCCGATCAAACTCTCCCGCCTCGATGGTGCAGTCATTCCAGTGCCCCTGCCATGGGGTCCCTTTGGGTGTTGCCCCTAGCCCCGAAGCCCAGGCAGGGTCTTCTCCTGCACCCTTGACGGCGTGTGCCTCCCCGTTGGCACGGGCTGACAGTCCTGGCAGTGAGCTGGCCCCTGACAGGCTGCTCTGCCCAGAGCGGTCCCAGAAGCTGGATGTTGCCTGGTCCTTTCCATAGGATGCACCTGATACTGGAGGGACCTCGTCCTTGGTGCCCTCCTCACACAGGAGGTCTGGGTCATCCTCCCCCACCTCATTCCCATTGGTTTCAGAGAAGTTCATCACCTGGAGGAGCTCGCTCATTAGGGAGGGCCCCAGGTCCAGGCGGAAGGAGAGCAGGGAGTCGGAGAGCAGGGAGTCTGAGCGCTTCAGCTCTGCTTCCCTGGGGAACGTGCTCTCTTGGGCCTTTTCCAGGCGAGGGACACGAGGGATGGTGCAAAACCCAGACTCCAGCCCTGCAAGGCAGAAGGGATGGCTGGTGAAGGAGAGCACAGAGAGGTGGGATGAAGCCTGCCTTAGATACACGGGGGCAAGGGACACTGCCACCAAAGTGGTGCAGGTCACACTCCTGTCGGTGGTGCTAGTCTCTAAAGGACAGAGCAGCTTCTGTGTGGACATCTCCAAAGCCCAGAGTTAGAGTGGAGGGTCTCACGGTGGGCTCTGGGCTTGGTAAGATGATGGTGGGGGCTGAGCCAGGCAGGTGGGACCAGGAGATGGCAGCATTGCCTCAGCTTGCCTTTCCCTCTGAGCACAGCCACCACCCCTGGCTGCTGCAGGCTCCCCCAGATCCCCCCACCCCGAGACCTTCTGCTCCAGACCTCCCTCCCTGAGGAAAAGCTGAGCCACAGCCCAGTGTTGTGAGTTCAGAGAAGAGCCACCCAGCTGTCCCATCCTTCCCAAAACCCTTCCCCAAGGTCCTTCCTGGATCCTGACTGGCAGGGAGGGATGTCAGTGCAAGGGGGGATGGAGTCCCTTGAGGAGCACACGGAGACAGAGGGGTTGGCAGAGCTAAGGACAGGGTTGGAGCATCTGCGTGGAGATGGGGAAGGCCATGACATGGTTCCCCTTGATCTCCCAACCTTGGTGTGATAATTGCCCTACTGTCCCAGCACCTTCTTGGCTTCCTTGGGAAGGATGCTCATGGGAAGGTGCAGGGCTGGGGGAGATGGGGAGGACCCCCTTACAGCTACTCCACACCAGCTGCCAGCTGTATAGGGCTATGAGAGAGAGGAGGAGCAACCATCCATGGGGGCCACCCTGGGAGTAGACCATTCAAGGACATGGCTGAAAGCAAGGTTAGGGCTATCTCCTCACGGGGACTGGAGACTCTAAAATGCCCTGTTTCTGCTGAGAACCTGAACTCCCTCTGGGGAAACGGAGGCATGGAGTGATGGAGAGGGGCTGCTGAGGATGCAGAGGGTGCCGGCCTCTGCCCCATGCTTCACTCACCATAGGCCTGGTGTGTTTTGGAGAAGTTGTTGGAGGCACTTTTGAAGGAGAACTTGCTGGTCAAGCCCCGGCCACCACCTCCATCGTATGTCACCTCGTTGAGCTGTGGCAGGGAGACGGCATTCTTGATGATGGGCGAGATGGCCGGGGGGGCAGGTGATGCCCCTGCTTGGCCCCCGCTGCCCCGCCTCCTCAGGGGCGACCGGCGGACGTGCCGCAGCGTCCGGGCAAAGAAGTTGTTGCCTTTGGCCGTGTCAGCCCCGCCATGGTTGCTGAGGAAGGAGGTGTCCCCGAAGACGTCCCGGGAGCCTGACACCCAGCTGAGCACCGGCAGCTTCCCCAGGCTCATGTTGCCCCCCTCACCTCACCCCTGCTCCTGCAAAAGCTCCAAAAAGCCGCCCTTGCCGGGCTTCCAGCACTGGGGTGGCCTGTCACATCCCCGGCCGCCTCATCCTGCCCCGGTGCCCTCGTGGGGGAAGCTCACGTCGCTTTGGCTTTGAGTGAGTGGGAAGGCTGCCCGGCCCCCTGCTTCCCTTCACTATGTCACGCTTATGAGATCACCCGCAGCAGGTAAGTCCCTGGTGGTGGGGACAGTGGCAGCACGGAGGTGTCCGCAGAGCAGTCTGGGGTCAATCCCGGTGCTGCGGCAGGCGCTGGAAGCTGTGTCTGGCTGTGGACTTAGGATTTAATCCACTGTCTTCTTGCAAGTGGGGGGAGCAAGTAACAGGAGCTTGGGGTTGGGTGGCACGGAAAGTGCCTCTGTCTCCTCGTTGGCCACCTAAACAAGAGAAGAGAAACAATGAAGCCCTCAGAGGTGATTTTACCAACCCTGACGGCTGTAACCCCAGGACTGGCTGGGAAGGTTAGAGCCAATGCATGAGCAATGGTGGGGACGCTGCTACTGGCTGTCCCCTTCACCTGGTCCTCCTCTTGGGGAGGAAGAAAAAGTCCCCCCAGAACACATTCTCTCTTTCACCTCGCTGCCCTCCCTTGGTGTGCCTCAGTTTCCCCTGCCTGCAAGCAGCTTTGCCAGACCCACACCACAACCCAGGCTGAGGATTTCCCTCCCAGGCAACTCCTCCTCCTAGAGGGGTGCCCTGCCCGGCTGTCCAGACTCCAGGAAAAAAAACCTCTCCCTTCATTTTGCTATTCAGATGAACCCTTTGGGGGAGGGTGAGGCCTTGGGACTCTGTGCTTCTGGAGAAGGAGGGGCAGCAGGGAGGGAAACATGCAATATTTGTATATTGGTTTGTTTGTCCTCCTCTGGCTGGGTCACTGAGTGCTGGGCAGTCACGCTGGAGCAGGCAGGGAGCTGGGGGTGCAGGGAGGGCAGCTGCTTATCGAACAGGGGAAACTGAGGCACAGCAAAAGAGGTGATTGCTGGAGGCCAAAGGAGAAGTTGGGATGGATCCCTGTGCTCAGGCGGGTCCTGGAGGGTGGGGGGAAAGGAGAAGATTCGGGGTGCGGGACACCTCAGAGCATCAGTGGTCTGAGTGTCTGTCTGGGGATGTGACCTTCTCTGGGCTCAGTCCCTGCCTGGGGGCCGGGGTAGCGGGATGGAGCTGGGTCCCTTCAGCAGGGCCAGCTCTGAGGGCCGCATGCCAAGAGGCGACGCAGAAGCCTCACATCCGTCCCTTCCTGCACGCTGGGACCCCATCCCCGCGCGGCTTCCTCCGTCTTCCCGCCTCCCCTGCCTGTCCCCGGGTCACCTCGGAGCAGGCAGGCAATGCCAGGGAGGCAGAGCCTCTGGTGAGGGGGAGCCCTGGGCATGGAGCCGCTCTCCTGGCTGGCTACACGTGGTTTTGCCTTGCCCTGGCCTTGTTTGCTCACCCGGGCCCCTCTTATCTTGCCAGGGGTTAATGCCTGGGGAAGGGAAAACAAACCTCCCCCCTGCGGCTCCCAGCACCATTGGCTGCCTCTTGGGGTGGCAGTGGCTGTTGGCAGCAAGGACGGTTGCAGGTTGGTTTCCTGCTGGCCTCTAGCTCCCTGGCTTCTGCTGCCCACGACAAAGTCTGCCTCCTGGAATCTGCTCACAGAGGCTGTGGGGTGCTGCCCCGCAGCTGGGGTGGGCCAGGCACATGGAAGGTTTGGGGTGGAAGGACAAGCAGGGAGCAATTTCCTCCCTCTGGCAAAAGCCCACCCATAGCCATTGGGTTAAGGCTCTTGTGGAGCACAAGGAAAGCCACCGGGGTGGTGAATGCAGCACAGTGGGGGGCTTGGGACCAAAGGGAGAGAGATGCAACCCCATTTTTGAGCTGTCCCTGGGTCCCCCTGGAAGGTATTATGACCCCAGGAAGGGGTATTAGGCAAGTTACAGCCCTCAAGTTTTCCTTTCCCTCCATGCATTGGAGCTGCTGAGAAACCCAAAGTGGGGACTGTGCCCTTCAGCAGTGGTGCCCACATGACCTGGGGCAGGTGCTGCACGGACCAAGGCTAAGCTGAAGGATGGAACCCATGGATCACCGGCCCACCTCAGGTTCTTACACAGCATAGCTGCCCTGCAGACCCCTGTAGGGGACTGGGGCTGGCATCATCCTCGGGATGGGGCAGGGAGGTGAGGCAAAAGGAGGTGTGAGAGGATACCATCCCTGCTCCCTGCCTGGAGAACTATTGAGCTGGGATCCAAGAGGAGGGAAATGTTTCCCCTTCCTTGTCCCTTGGCCACCATAGGGACGCAAGGCAGCACCTTCTGGGCCCCAGCTCTCCCTGCCTGCTTGCAGGCAGCAGGCACTGGGCGAGGAGAGAGGGAGGGAGGCAGCTGGTGCCCAACCCTACCTGGATGGCAGGTTTCTGGCAGGCCTGCTGGACTTTTTTTTCTCCCTCCAATCTCCCCTTTTCCCCTCCTTCCCTCTGTCTCTGATGCATCTCTGCTTAGACTGTGCCCCGTTGAGACCTCCCCTCCACCCAAGCGGACTCCTCCACGCCAGTAAATCTCGTGATTCTGCAGGCAAAGAGTGACCTATGCACTCTCCTTTCCTCCACTGGGCAAGGGGACCAGCAGCCTGGCCACCTGGCCCACGTCTGTCCAGCAGCCCACCACACTGGCAGCCCCCGGCATGCAAGCCCACAGCCCGTCCCGATTCCCATTTCCTGTCAGCCTCTCCCCAGCTCCCTCCTTGCTTCTTCTGGGAAGCCCCCTGCCCTCAAATATTAGCCACCAGCATCAACTCCTCCTCCCGGCTGGGCCTCCCCGTTTCCCCCCTGAGTTCAGCTGGTTTCCACTGGTTTTCCACTCACCAGGAACGGCGAGAGCTGTTCT